TGCTATATTTTGTAGTACACTGTAACGTCACACGACATTTCAAATCAATATATCGTCGAAAGCATTTTGTGAGAAAAGAAAAAATACGTGTCTAATGTTTTAAAATAATTATATAAATTACCATTACTATGGTTAAAAATATGTTGTCTGCAGTTCGTTTTCGGATCAAAATATGTCGAAACTTTATCATGTCTTAATGACTTGTGACAGTTGTAATCCTCTTTTAACCCACTTTTTCAATTGTGTTACCAATTTTTAACAGTAAAACAGAGATCAAAATACCAAATCTACCTCTAATATTCATGTACCTAACAGATTGTATGAAAAATATAATGTAGGAACTTATCTTCTTAGGTATTCCGCAAAAATACCAGAAGACGAATAACAAAAGAAAGCAAACACAAAGATACTTCTAATTAGTTACGTTTTAATAAATTTTCTATAGAAATATTATCATAATGAATACAAGTTAAATAGAAATGAAGATTTACAACATTATTAAGGTATCTCCTTTTACTCTGAGTAAAAAGCGAAGTTTTTGCTTGAACGTATCTCATTTCCCTCAGGCCAATAGGTTTTGTGTCAAAATATAGCCATTACGTAGCTGTTTTTGTCACTTTTTTGTCGAACCGGAGCCTAAAATTGGCGCGCCGAATTGGCAAAAAGTTTGTTCGGGTCTGATTAGGCGGTTGCCAAGTTTCAATTAAGTTTGTTAAAAGGCTGTGTTTTTTTCAATCCTGTGAAGCCCTAATTGATGTTTTTCTATTTTCGAACGAATTATTTTGTCTAATATGTCAATTTGCTAATGTGATGGCTATAGGTATGGTATTCAGTATGGAGTCACGATTAAAAAGCCTTTATTGCTTTTAGGCCCCTATCACCAGTAATATTTTTTTTATAAGACAGTCGACGATTGGCCCCCATATCGCCTGGTGGTAAGCGATTATGTGTCCGACGATACCGTAATTAAATTGTAAAAAGTCTCGATTGCAACGCAAAAGAAATATAAACAAATAAACGTTCTATATGTGTATATATAATTCTATTCAACACTATACTCCTTTCAATGCCTAATATTAAAAAGTGATTTTGGTCAGTAATTAAATTTTAATTCCTGAATCGTTAAATCTTGATTTAATTACAGACTAAAAATATCTTCTTAGCCTGTAATTAAACAGCCTACTATAATACTCTTTGATAAAGCGGCTTCTATACTAAGTTTTGCTCTAACAAACAACCTAAATGCTACATCTCGTAAAATACAGAGATCTGTAAGTACCAGTCCGTTGTAATTTCCGCCGTTCAATTGTTTCTCAAGGCTTTCCATTACTCGCTTCTTAAGAAGGATATAAAATAGGTTATAGAATGTTCTAGACATCCTATGAAAGTAACTACAATCTGGAAAGATTTTATTTCTTTGGTTAGTTATGAAGTTATTAGAGGGAGTATAGTTGTTTAGTTAAAGTATTATTTTTCTAAAGTAAAATTCAAAGCCTGCGGACGGCGTGCATAGGCTCACAGGCCGACCAGAACCAGACCTACGTTGTACACAATTATTGTTGATATTATCCTATAATGCGATTGTGTGGTGTACAATAAAGTATATACATACCCAAATATAAAGAAATAAATTAAATAAATTTTAAGTTCTTTTTGATAATTAAAAAATAATTAGAAATGAGTACCATAAGATGAAATAACACGTAATCGAGCAATCGAGAGACGTTTGATCCTGTCTGTAATCAAGTGCTAATGAATTCATAATGAGATATTAATTAATTTTGATGAACGAGAAAATCTTCGTAAAATTTTCCAATACCATTTCTTACATGGTTTGTATCAATTAGGGAGAAAATTGAAAGAAAACAGAGTTTTCTGAGTACATTTCTCGTAAGATTTGATAAAGTCAATTGCCTGGGAAGATTTTATTATAACCTAATTCTGGGTTTCTAAGCGTGTTGGTAGGAAAATGTCGTCGTAAGTGTATTGATTTACGATGTTTCAGTTTGCATGTTTTTTTTAGGATACCTTTATATTATGCGACTTAGAGAAATTATTTATTTGTCATGTGAATGAGAGCAGGATATATTTGTCATCACTACTACCCTTTTTTGTGGGGAGGAATCATTTAATGTCTACTCCCGCTCGAATGAGGTGAGAGGGAGTGTCGGACTCTTGCTGACTAGAACCTCCCTGTACCTATGTACTCCTCTTCTAGTCGGAGCCTAGCCACACACATTTGCCAGAGACCAGGCAGCGTTTCTATTAAAGCTGAACCTTGTAAACTGTGCATTCTCCAACCCATTAACTAACATCAATTAGTACGTGGAGCACATAGCTTTGCTAGCAGTGAACTGCATAGGGCTGTATCAAGATAAACGAATCTTGAGTAAAAACGAAATTTTTTAATCTCAGTCACAAAAATTCGATTTCCTGTGAGCTTGAGTATTCTTCATGGAATTCCCTAAACAGAACTAAGTAACTGGGTCCCATAAAAACCACATTTCTCACGATTACCAAGAAAAACTTCCAAAGTTTGACTTGACTGATCTTAATCGATATAAATTGATAACAACAGTTTGATTGATGGTGAAAGTATTTTGCAAGTGAAACGCACACAAAGGTACTCCAACGATCGAATTCATGTAACAGATTTTGAGCTTTATGGTTTTGTAATAAAGTGGAAAATTCATTATCAAAGTTTAGTAGCTTGATGTGATGGTTGCAATACTTAAGCTATATTGAAGGACAAGGTCGACAAATTCGGTATTTATGTCCCATTTTATGAGTTAAACCGTTCATGTTCTGCACGCAAATGTCTTTGTTTATCGTCAAGTTAAGCAGTAGTAGAAAAGCCAATCCATAATTAAAGGATATTAACTCTCTGTGACTTGAGTTGCTACCTAAACGACTGATTATGGGGATTGCGGGACAATCTCCGGCCACCGTAAGCACGGGCCTGTGAACGGCGAGCATGGGTAGCTCGCCGCCCGACCAGAGCCAGACCTGTACCGTGTTCCATTCCTACACGAAGCAACTTTTTGTGTGATCCAAAAACTGTTGTTTCGGGTCTGGGTGTCATGTGTTTTTGATATTGTACATTTGTAAACGCACCCAAGATACAGGACAAAATAAGAGTGAGGAGCATCGTTTCAATAAAAAAAACAGACAATTCCCATTACTTCGTACTCCGAAGTTAATTCAACAAAAACATAATATTAATTTTAATATCTCGAAATTGAACCCTAAAGCGTTAAAATAAGGATCAAGAAATAGATTCTGAGAAATAGTCAATAAATTATATTTGATTAATTACTTTAGTAGTTTGTTTTGAGGAATACTTGCCGGTGGATTATGGTTGAATTAATTTAATATTATGATGTACTTTAGCTCTTGCCCGCTGCTTTGCCCGCTCTCTTTTAAAGGATTGAAGGCAGATTTATAAAAAGAAACTTATGCCCTATGTTTTTGGTAATCACAAACACAAATAGTCCGCATACCAATTTTTAGCTTTCTACCTTGAGAATAATAAAATACTCTACACAAACTTCCACCTCCCATTTTAGGAAATTGCGAGATTAGAAAAAGACAAAAACTAACCTATGTCATTCTCCATCCCTACTATTTCTCTCCACGTTTCCACGTCAATGCATGGCTTCGTATTGCCGTGAAAGACGAACAAACAAACAAACACACACACTTATAACATTAGTATGAATATGAATTAGTTAATCACCAGCCTGGAATGAGAACTGAGTAGAACTGAGTAAGGGTTTAAGTATTTGAGGTCGTTATAGTGCTATTTCGAGATAATGATCACAATATTTTAGAAAGCGAATTATTTTGAGAGACGAACTAAAATAAAATTATAAATGAGTTTGGTTGTAGATCTATTTAATCAAAAGGAGACGGCACAATTTGTTTTTTAATGAAATCTAATTATTTTGCACATTACTGATATATAAATGTCTATGTCACTCTTTTATATATATTGAAACTTGCAATGAATTTGAAATACTCAATTTAAAATGGCGCTTAAGCATAGTTCTGTCACTACAATTTTTATGTGTAACTAACTTCTGACTGCGACTTCGTACGCGCAATCCCGCTTCTCCCATTCCCGTAGGACCAATTGTGGCGTGACAACGGGAAACGGGTTTCATTTTTAAATATATGGATGACAAAATTGGCACGAGATTTAAGTAAAAGTTAAAATTTAATTCCTTTTGCGATTACTAACGTTAGAGAAATAAGAATATTTCTCTAACGTAAATTAAAAAATTTCATTAGATTTAGGAATCAATTTTTACTAGAACGATTCTCGGTCAGGTTATTCTCTGAAACTGTGAACTTTCTATTAAAAAATTCTGATCTAATAGTATCTAGATATAAGAGTACACTCTTCTTACCAATTGACAATTGACATACATACCTACCTATGTTTTAGTACGCACTAGTTTTTCAAGAACTCTTTAATTGTGGAGTTCTCAACGAACTTCCTAATAGACTGAGAATATTATTACCATTTAAACGCTTTCTAAACATAATCTTATCATATTTTTCTTTTTAAAGTTTATTAACTAAAGAAAAATGTATTTCTAAACGCAAAAACATAGAAAAACAAGAAATCAGGTAACTTCACTCTTATCTGAATGCAAATAAGGTAAATATTGGAAAATATGTTCTTGAAAGCCTGGTAATATTTTCTTCTTCAACTTAAATGAGGCGCAAAGTCAGTAAGTTGTTCTTTAAAGTTTTATATTATCAAAATGCGTTGCGGCAGCCTTCAGCTTTGCATATATTCGTGTGCGGATTTGGATCATTGAAAGGTTTTCATCAAACAAATCCGTTTTTTTATTAAACTGGTAATATTATGTGAAGTACGCCTTACTTACTTTTTGTATGTGATGGTTTTTAAGACATATTGGATTTGTAACTCAGAATTTCATGTTAAAATGTTTAATTTTCGTATTAATACAACTTTTTTTTCTTTTTCACAGGTCAACATCATATTAAAGAGAAAATACCAAGACATCTTTTTATAAGGTAAGACTTTAGGTTTCACAAATAAGCTTTATGATCCAGTTAAAACAAAAGCGACACCAAATGTAGTATCAAATCTATCTCAGACAAACTTAATACCTTGTTATCTATACTTTCAACAATTTTCTGACAGTCAAACCCTTAAAGAAACATAACATAACATCACGCCTTTTATCCCCGAAGGGGTAGGCAGGGGTGTACATTATGCTACTATACAAAGTAACACCCACTTTTCACTATTTATGTTATGAGTCCCATGTAATAGAGGGTGAGCCTATTGCCATACACCGGGCTGCTACTGAGTTTTTTTTTTAAACCCAGTAATACCGAATATGTCCGACACGAGGCACTCTTAAAGAAACTGACAGTTTAAAGCCACTTTATATAATTCTTGCCTTTGCTACATCAACATAAATTCACACAGGTACAATATATACTCAAACTCATACACTGCTAGTAGGGATATCCTTTCAGACGTGTTCAATTTGAGCTCCCAACCTCTGACATATAGTCCTCTATACCACCGATTAGTGTGAGTGTGCTATAGAATATTAGGGTTGAGACACGGTAGTTTAATTGACGGAAACTCGATTCGAACCAATTTTTGACTATGTTATCTTTTGTGTTTTTTTTTTTTTGTTGTTGTTAATCTCAGTTAGCCATAGGCAGTACTGTATTGTTCTTATAATAACTATCGTGAGACATACTAAATTAAGTAAAAACGCGGGTTACTCACGTGCAGCGTGCGCGGTCGCGGCGACGTCGCGCAGCTCATTCACTCATGAGGAAGAACCCCTCTGTGGTTCGAAACTAGTAGAGCTGTTCTCAGTATATTCACGTGAATAACCCGCGTTTTTATTTAATTTAGTACTGTATTGTTTTTTAAGAAGAGTTTATTAATTGTGTAGTCATAAGAGTCCCTGTAAAATATTGTGTTGCTGTAAACACTATTAATCTTTGTGTGCGTAACTGAAAAAATTAAACAACTTTGACAGTCACATACATTCAATATTTTTATAACTAATCATAATAGATACTGTAGAGCCGTAAAAATAATTTTAAGTACCTGGACTTTCTAATATCATAAAAATGTATTTGTAAAACACTAAGTAGGTACCGACTGCCTCGTTGGCCGAGTGGTCGCAAGTGCGACTGCCGGGAAAGGGGTCTCGGATTCGATTCCCGGATCGGGCAAAGTATTATTGGGATTTAAAAAAAAAAATATCAGTGTTAGCACGGAGCCTGGAATTGTGCCCAGTATATGGCAATAGGCTCACCCCCTATTACATGGGACTCATAACATAAATAGTGAAAAGTGGGTGTTACATTGTACAGTGGCATTAAGTCCGAAATGTGCACCCTCTGCCTACCCCTTCGGGGATAAAAGGCGTGATGTTATGTATGTATTAAGTAGGTACCAATAACTCTACGCCTGACGTTATGGAAAATCAAAACAACAGAGTGAAAAAAGTACATAATTTATAAATTGCGCTCATGATACGTAAAATTAGTTAGCTGTCCCAACAGCAAAACCAAACCAAACAATCCAAAAAATCAACCGAAAATATTGGTACAGGGCGTCCCTCAAATATGTACTTAATCTTGAGTTTAAGTTACCGTGTCCCTTCCGCCCACTGGATCCAAAATTAGTTGACTTGCCGAAGCCAGGATCGGAATACAAATGAAGGTGATAAGTTTGTAATTAAATTGTATCCAACCTACTCCAAATTCGTGCACTTCGTGAGAATTATCTTCACTTCACGCTACGTCTATAAATAGACATTACGTTGATAGCAAATTGAATGTGCACACCAATATTGGGCGCCAATTATGGAGCCAACATTGGTGGCAAACTTAAGACGGCAGTTGATAACTTTACTAACCACATTCAATAGATACTTTAAGACGTATTACTTGTTTAATGTTTAAACTAGATATTCAAGTACTAAATTATGTACGAGAATGATGTCATAATGGTTTATGTTTCACTCAAAAAAGTATTAAAATGTGTAATTATTCTCTTTCTCGTTTAAAACAAATTTTCAGAACTTTTATACAAAATATCTCTATTTTACGATTAATTTTACCACACTTTTACAAACAGCTTGTAACAGTAAAAGCATAAATGTTATTAAAGAAGTCAATGTACTGAGTATTCGAATACTTTTTGCGAAGGAATATAAGCGAATGTGAGCAAAAAAGGCATCGTGTATACATTTAGTAAAGTATCTACAAAGTATAAGTTATAAGAAACAGCTGAGCTTTTGTAAGTAAAAAATGTACACAGGTGTACATGTATTCTACACACTTCTTTTCATAACATTTTTGTAAAAGAAGCATCATGCTTGGTATTTGTATGATGTTTATTTAATAATCAACTTTGTTGTTCATCAAGTAATTTTGTCATTTAACATATTTTTTTTACTTTTCCTATGTTACAATGGGATGGAACGCCCCGGCTTCGCACGGGTGCAGTATGCATGCAATGCTTACACTATATAAACCTTCCTTATGAATCACTCTATCTAAGTATTAAAAAAACCACATCAAAATTTAAAGATCCAAGCATACATAGGGGCAGACAGACGGCGAATAGTGACTTTGTTTTATACTATGTAGTGATCATATTGGGCACAGATCTAGAATTCGGAAAATTTGTTGATACCCTTATTTAACTTTGGCAGTTGCCCTAGTGCCTATTGAACTAACGAGGTCCGATATAAAAACCTACTATGTCTGTTTATCATTGAGTGGGCGTACACTTTGGGTTTTGTTGTTAGTACAAAAAGCCTAGAGAGATTATTATTATTCTAAGTCTATATAAAGCAAACACGAAGTCTAAAAAGGTTGTCATTTACTTTTCTTTATTTTCTTTTTCTTACCCATCCCTCAATTGGGATCAGCCCTTAATACTCATCAATCAAGCTCAAAAAAATATGAAAAGATAATACCTAGATAACGCCAACCTCTTTAATCGATTAGACATGACAATGAATGGGAAGGTATCGATCGGCTTGTCAACCTCCCTAAAGGTACTTACTATAATAAGGTCAAGACGTAAAACTATCGATTAATTTAAATAACAAAGACGGTCTCGTTAGTTTAGCGGTTACAAGTCTAAGTGCTACATGAACTTTCGAAAGTATCTTGAGGTCCTACGACTAAAGACTGTTTTTTATTATTGTTTATTTTGTTAATATTCGTTATTATACAATGTAACACCCACTTTTCACTATTTATGTTATGTCTCTAATAAGAGGGTGATGCCACATACTGGACACAATTCCAGACCTCTTGCTACTATTGAGATTTTTTTTTAAAAACTACAGTAGGTAATTAATAAAACTTTGCCCGATCAGAGAATGGAACCCGAATCGTCTTGACCAGCAGTCGCACTTGCGACCACTCGACCAACGAGGCAGTTTTGCAAGCAGTATTGCGATGTTTGTTGTTATAAACAAAGCAATAATATTAACTATATGCCCTTGAAATACCATAGAAACGTATTTACGGAGTAATCACATTAATAATTCAATGCAAAATCGATTCCTTATCTTTTTGATGTCTAACTTTTTAACTTCAACTTAATGGGTCAAGCAATTTCCTATGCATAAGCATAAGAAATTGTTTGTTTGAAACGCCAATTAAGTAGTTCCATGGTTGATATGAAATTGATTTTGTATTTGGAAATAGATAACAATAGAACATTGAGTAGATATGTTCCCTTTACTGTAAAATTATAATTTGATGGGATGTGAATTATTCTTTGGAAGATATCTGTTGTCAATGATGAACGGTCTCACTACTGATTATGATGATGATGATTATGAAATCATACATACAATCACGTCTGTCTTCCATGGGCCTCTGCCTATAGTCTCTACTATGGAATGCCAATTGCTACGATACTTACATACTTCTTTGGCTTCATTAAAATAGCGGATATGAATGGGGCCGGGCTCTAGGCAGACATACATCGATACCTTTAACCGACGAGCATGCATGAAAAGACTGATGACTGTTGATGAAGCGAAACAGGTATTATGAAATCAGATGACAGTATTATACCGACTATATAAATACACGCTCTCGTAATCATCAACTTTACGATCGAGGAGGTAGAGGAAGTAATGTACACATGATTACATTCAAGCTATACAAATCTAGCAATTATAAATAGACCGCTGATCCTGCGGAAAAACCGCCCAAAGCAAGTTCATGATAACTGGTTTGTATATATTGATGTGTATCAGTGTATGCTATTTTCATACCTCGTATACCAAATTCTCTAGATACCAAAGCCCTCATACTGTCAAGTTGTCGATATCGAGATTTACGAGTATCGAATAGCAGAGAGTATATTACTATCAGTATTGAGTACTAGGCTTCTCAATAGAATTTATATGTGACAGAATGTTTACGAAAAAAAAAATGTGAAGGTGCGTTTCCATGCTTGTCAAGGCTCGGCAAGCGTCCATAAGCAGAAGCATATAAATAGGGCTCGGCTTGCGGACGCTTTTACAGGATCTGGTCTAGTATCAGTATTAATTTGGACATAGTTCAAAGGATGCGTGTACGGAACGCGACGCGCCTTAACGTACGGGTCTGGATCTAGTCGGGCGGTGAGCTATCCTTGTTCGCCATCCCCACACTTACGGTAGCCGGAGATTTTCGTGCGATCTCCGACGCTCGGAATGTCTCCTGCGATGGTTGGGGCGTGAGGAGGTTCGTGCCATCACGCGCTCCGCATCCTCCTTTGCTAGCATGACTGTTTCGCAGAAGGAGGAGACGGCATCCCAATCCCTCTGCTCAGCACCATGGCCTGAACCAGATCCAGAACTTGTGGACGTTTGACGAGGATTGGCAAGCGTGGAAACGCACCTCATTAAAATTGTATTCTTTTACCAATGAATCAACTTGTACGATTGTCGATTACGAAATCATTATTTGAGATTTCAAAGCAATCACCACTCAGAATACTTGTAGTGTTTCAGAAAAAGAGT